CACTGGCTACTCAGTCAATAAATCCTGAATATTTCCTTATCAGGAAAAGACTGAGTTTACCATTATTTTTTAACGTCTCAGTCAGTATCGAAAAGTACGTGTTATCAGTGTAGTAGACAAGATTCGGTTGGCGACATGCACCAAAAAATGTATCAAATATTTATTGTCATTTAATTGGGTTTTTTATTATATATTTTATCCACAATTTAACTTATAACCCTATAAGATTCTGAGTGTCTGTCTCTTAAAAATTAAGAAGAAAAATCTCTCTTAATAAAAAGACACACATGTTCTTAGAAATATATCATATTTCTGAAATGCAATATATTTGACAGAATGACTTGACAATCGTCAAGTCCTCCAAGAAAATAGAAATAGAAGCAGATTGTAGTCGGGTCAATTAATTGGTCCGTGAATTGACTAATCAGCAACTAGCCAGATGTCTATATTTCTGAGTTGAGGTATTATGTACAATATTTACATTATTCGGACTATTGTCCTCATCTTTGTCGCCATATTTATTATAACGTTTCGGCCGTTGTACCCTTCCTCAAGGACACATGGCACAGTGGATAAAGGCGTTGGTTAGATCCAGTGACAGGACCCAAAAAGTGTGTGTTCAATACCCGGTTAAGGGAGTGGAGAACTTGGAGTGGGGAATTAAGAGAAGATAACTGATAACATCCATTAAACAGGGTACGTGGAATTAGAACAGTCTGTCCCAGTGAGCGAATTAAAGGGTTCAATTCGACATTCCAACCACCTGAAAAAGGCCGGAGCGTACAACGGCCGAAACGTTGTGATAAACATGGCGACTAAGATGAGGACAATAGTCCGAATAATGTAAATAGTGAACTAGCGAGATGGTGAGATTTCCTGGTAAAAAAAGTTCTTCATTTTGTTTTTTGGCCTGATAATGCACAGATGGGGGTAGAGAATTTCTCTCACCCACTGTAACTGCTCCATCACTGACAGGCTGTCAGCAACGTTTCCGTGTTGGAGAAAATAAAACTAGGCGATACTAGCCTCATTGCGTTTTACTATTTTATTACGAAGGAAACATTTCGCCTGGAGAAAAGATGTCTTTTGACTTTCTGTAAGAAATCGAAGCAACACGACTCTGTGTTATTGGCCTGAAAACAGACGATGCGACCCACTGCAAGGCAAGGGTCATAGTTCACTGAACACGAATTTGAGCTACATATGCTATCGTAACAATGCAACACTAATGTCCAGTCAGCAGAGCTGCAGTATAAATCCTAGATGGGTATTATGGATTTTGACAGAATGAGTCACCCTAACAAATGGATGTATTTGGAAACGGGCAGTCAGATATATGTGAAATATATATTACCAAGTGTTAATGAATAAAAAATATTTATGAAATGAGGCCCTATCCGTAGTTAATGAGGGTGTTAAGAACAATTACGGTCCGTGGAAATCAGGGGATTATAATAAAATAGTTCACCTAAGTATTTAATAAGCATCAACTACCACGGCATACAGGTAACGAGACGAAATTTAAATATTTTGCCAGGGGTTAGTGCAAAGGTGGGTGAGTGAGTTGCTTAATTTTCGAAGATCATGAGATAAAACTACACGTACAGGCACCCCACATAAAATATCCCAAATAAAATACACACACACACACACACACACACACACACACACACACACACACACACATATATATATATGAAGAAATATACTCTTAAGATGTACTATGTTTATGGGATAAAGTGCTCAGTATCAGAGATAGAGCGTGTGTAAATATAAAAGTGAACATTGAAGTCAACACTCAGAGGCGACAGGCTGTTTCATACTAGACGCAATCATCAGGCCAGACGATTGCGTCTAGCATGAAACAGCCTGTCGCTTCTAAGTACTGACTTCAATGTTCACTATATATATATATATATATATATATATATATATATATATATATATATATATTCATTTATGTATACCGGCTGTAACATCAAAATTGTCCAAATCGTGTAACAGCATAATTATCCATCGCACAAAATGTTTAATATCTAATATCTAAAAACCACAAAACTATTCATTTTTTCTTTTTTTTTTTTGTTTCCAAGTTTTCAAATAAGGCGTTTGGCCTTCTTGACACCATTTGTCGTAAGAATCACTGAAAAACCCTTTTCAGTTATTCAGCTAGAAACAATAGTTTAAACTCGTTTTGTGTCAGACGCACTGTCTTCTCAACTGAGCAACGGTAAGAGGAAAAAGGTCAGTCAGGCCTTCAGTAATGGTACCAACATTCAGATTGCTATGCTGAGGATAACGATCGCAGAATAGCAGACAGAGGTCGTAAATTCATGATGCGGTTCTGTGACGTCATACCAAGTGAGAGAGTAATCTTTTCTTTCAGCATAACAGAATATCATCTTTGATGGGGAATGCCTTTGTTTAAACGCCAATATAACCGCTCTAAAGATGGCTCATGTGAGCTGAAAGCTTAGATCACGGAACAGCATAAGAAAAATATATCCAGATGTTGGACAATTTTTGTCTTTATTTTCTCCCGAAATTGAAACCAATATAAGGAGCTTAGAACGGATCAAGATCAAACATAATAGACCTTCGCTTTTTGTTACATTTAACAACATATATATATATATATATATATATATATATATATATATATATATATATATATATATATATATATTCACGACGCTTGACTCTACATTTGAATGAGAGCTCTAACAATTTTAGGCATTTAAAACAACGTGCCTGGCTTGAAAACACAACTATACTTAAACATGAAAACAATAAACAAAAACTAAAAATTCTTGAATTCATAAAGCTATATACATAAAACAGTTGAAACCAAACCTGAACAAAATAAACTATGAAATATTCACAAATGTACTTAAATGCCTATAATTTATAACAAAAGACATTGGTTTATACCAACGGCTTCCTATACTTAATAATTTGCGTTTTCACTCTCGCGTGGTCATGTGTGACGTCACGAGCTGTGGTGCGATTTTCGCTTCCGCGTCTCGTATACACGAGTTGGAAATCTTCCATGTCAACAAAAACAGACTATCATTATTGTTTTGTCCGTGTATTGTTTAATATATTGAAATGTAATTGTCATCTTTGATAATGGCTTATGTAAGACGAAAGCTTAGATAGGATTAAAAAACATGTATCAACATGGCGTCTTTCTTTCATCTTTCAATGATAATGTTATTAAGCTTATCAGACAATATGAAAGGAATTTACTTGAAATAAATAGACAAAACTTGTCTATATTATCTAATGAAACATGCATCAATACATACATACATATATATATATATATATATATATATATATATATATATATATATTATTAATCTTATAAGTATAAGAAACTATACTCGCTCGGAAAACCTTCGTTGTATTGATTTGCAAATAAACGAGCCAATACCAAAGGGGAAAGAAAGAACCAAGAACATATACGTTAACCGAAAATAATCGTCCAGCATATGAGTTCAAGGCCCAAAGAAAAAAAACCCGATGCGAGTACCCAAAACAACTAAATAAAGTGCTCAATACAATGAGTAGAGCAGACCTAATGAAACCTAGAGAGCCAGACAAACCTACCAAAGTAGTAGAATTTGCTAACATGTTTCCGCGTTCTACAGATGTATCACAGATTACCGGTTTATAAATTGTCTCCATTGGACAAACGGACAAACTGTTTCTCAAATTGAAGAAAATATTCCCTTTTCTGTAATTTCCATTTAAGTTTAATAAATATTTGGGGGCAAAAAGACGAAAACGGACACAATTTCTCTTCTACACCCGAACACACGCGGGTGCACACACACACACACACGAACTCACGCCTAAAAGGTTATATTTACTGTTGATATTTGAATAAACAATGGACATTCATGATTGTTATTGAAATATTTTGTTAAAGTTGTTAAACTCAAGTAAATTAATGATGCGATAACGGAATTTCTACGGATAATTTATTGTCGTAGAACTCGCCATGAGCTATTCAATCTTAAACTGAAGAATTAAGATATATCAGGAAATTAAAATAGGAAAACCGGGTTAAAACTAGTATATATATATATATATATATATATATATATATATATATATATATATATATAAACGTACATAAACGTGTGTGCTGCAGTAAAAATGACAGATGAGAACTTTTCGTTAGTGAAATAACAGATTGTTGCTAGTAGCATATATTCATATTACATTATGTTTGCATACACACGCACACGCACACACATAAATGCATGTATACGCACACACATTTATGTGTGTGCGTATACATGCATATTTGTATTTACGCAATAAAATATCGAATCTTTTATATATATGCATCTATATATATGTTTGCGTGCGCGCGTGTGTATGCATGTATGTATGTATGTACATATATGTGTGCATGTTACTAGTCTTTGCTCTTGGCCTCGTATCTACAGCAGATGGAAATATCTGGATTGAGAAGCTTTTTTTTTCCGCAGCTGAACGCTGGCCTAGCTCTTCCACTCCGTTTCAGTTGACGATGGGGAGGGCCAGTGACAGAAGTGATTACAGTGGTGACTTCTCCTTACGGCTTTGACCTCCCTCAAATTACTTTAGACTGACAGTAGATTAGGGCCGCGTCCAGTTCCCCGGTTCGCTTGGACATGGCCAGGCCTAAAAATCTTCTTTTCCTCTCGACTTAAAGCGGAGACAGAGAGAGCACGGCTATTGGACGGAAGGCAGATGGAAGAGGCGCTTTTGCCGATGGAGGATTATCCCTCGTGAAAGGGGATCTGTATGTCGGCGTGTATATCTACCTTCGGTAAGAAAGAGTGTTAGGATTAGAAAGCAAAAATGACAGCTTATTATGCGTTTGGAAGTCATCTGATGTCTGTCTGAGTCTCTATGTGTGCTTCAGATATAATAAAGATTATTGACTGGAAAGTGTGACGAGAGGTTTGTATGGATGTGTAGACTTTTCAATGTTGGTCTTTGTAATGCAGGCAATCATTATACGTGCGATTCGGTTCAAAGTAGAAAACCTTAAAGTAAATCAGATCTATCTATCTATCTATCTATCTATCTATCTATCTATCTATCTATCTCAATCTGTTCATATCTATATAACAGTATGTATATCGATCTATCTATCAGTATATCGATCTATCTTTGTTCATATCTATCAGTATGTCGCTCTTTCTCAGTCTGTTCATATCTATCTATCTATCTATCAGTTTATCGATCTCTCTCAGCCTGTTCATATCTATCTATCTATCTATCTATCTATCTATCTAACTGACTATCAGTATATCGATCTATTTCAGTATGTTCATATCTATCAGTATATCGATCTATCTGAATCTTTTCATATCTATCTATCTATCTATCTATCTATCTATCTATCTATCTATCTATCTCAGTCTGTTCATATCTATCTATCTATCTATCTATCTATCTATCTATCTATCTATCTATCTATCTTGTATCATATCTCATCTGTTCATCTATCTATCTATCTATCAGTTTATCTGACTCTCTCAGTTCATATCTATCTATTTCTATTCATCTATGTTCATCTATGACTATCAGTATATCGATCTATTTCAATATGTTCATATCTATCAGTATATCGATCTATCTGAATCTTTTCATATCTATCTATCTATCTATCTATCTATCTCAGTCTGTTCATATCTATCTATCTATCTATCTATCTATCTATCTATCTATCTATCTATCTCTTTCGGCATCTCCATGATCTATCTATCTATCTATCTATCTATCTATCTATCTATCTCAGTCTGTTCATATCTATCTATCTATCTATCTATCTATCTATCTATTTCGGCATCTCCATGATCTATCTATCTATCTATCTATCTATCTCAGTCTGTTCATATCTATTTATCTATCTATATTATTTCTTCTCTAACTCTTTTTATTATTCATACACTATATCTGATTTTATTCAGTTCAGTGTTTTCACAACCAAACTTATATCAAACAACTGATGTTTAAATTTTCATTTTTATCTATATGACAAATGTATAATCGTATTTTCAGCTTATCATTGGTACCCTTATCAAAAATATAACTCCACAATTTACGCTTTTCATTCCCTAGCCATCGAGGTAGGATCAAAGTGTAGTATCTGCTCTCCAGCAAATAATCTTTACATTCATCATCTCAGTTGTATCTCTGACCTCGGACAGAGTGCAACTAAGTGTTAATACAAAGTGTATTATCTATCCTCGGGCGAATAAACTATATTTTATCTCTCAGTTGTGTTTCTCTCTTGTGACAGAACAAAAGAAATAAATAAGGGAGCTCTGGTCACCGGGGATCCTAACCTCGTGGCAGCACCTCCATCACTGTATCAAAAAAGGAGGAGTCGGTGCAATATCGACGCCAACGCAACTTTTGTTGCTGGAACTAGGCAGTTTTTGGCTTTAGCCTATGTGCACGCACATAGCACCCCCCACTAAACTGGTTTTGTACCATAACCTATTATCATGAGGTAAATACAAAATATAGTATTCCTTCTAATTTCTCATTGTAAATTATATCCGTTTCCTTATAAGGAAACATCTGTGACTTACTGACTAAGCAACCGGTTCTATTGTCAGTTGGGATTTATACAAGCTTTCTATTAAAACAATTTTCTCAGGAAAATATGTTTTTCAAAGACTCTTTTTTCACTCTTTCCTATATGGATGGGGGAGGACTTCTTAAACTTTCGTTTGAAGAACTGCTGATCGTTCATATCTTACTGATGCCATCATTTTCTCTTCGAGTAATATTCATATCTATTTTACTTGTTGCTACTGTTGGATGTAATATGGTTTCTGTTTGGTAGAGTTCTTTATGATTTTGTGGTGCCAATCCAAAATATATATTTAACAAACCAATATTACATTATGATAATTCTCAGTTCGAAAACTTCTTTAACTAAACCTCTGGCTGTTCTTGTCATAGCAACTAATATGGCCACCGAACAGCTTCTCATGAATACACGATAAGTCGCCGAGTAAACCTCACCTAAAAAGAGTGTAGGCAAGTTCAATTAAGAAAGATATCAACAGAAAGAAAGAGAAAGTTTGAAAAAGTGAATGGGGAGAAGAAATGGGAGATCACGTGATAATTAAATGAGAGTCTCGTTCAGGTTTCGGCGGGATGTTTGTGGAAACCAGTTCTGTCTGCTACGTGATAGGAAAGATCACGTATCATTGACAACGAATCCAAATTAATAACAATATATATAAGTAGATACTGCTTAAGAGTTAAGGAATGGCCACTCTCATTGCCTCTCCTCATCCATCTCCCATTTCTCTTTTTTTATTTCTCTTTTCCTCTCCCCTTCTATGTGTCCTTTCTCTTTTTCTCTCCTCCTCTCTCACCCTTTTCAATTTTTATCTCTTTTCTTTCCCTATCTTCCTCCATCTCATTATTTCTTTTTATCACCACTTTCCCCTCTCCTCCTCCATCTGTCTTCACTCTCTTTATATTCTATCTTCTTCTCTTCGCATCTACCTCCCTGATTCTTTTTACCTCCCCTCTTCCCCTTTCCTCCTCCATCTTTTTTTTCTCTTTTTATCTCCTCTCTTCCCCTTCCTTACTTCATCTCCTTTTTCTCTTTTTCTCTCCTCACTTCCCCTCTCCTCCTCCTCCTCATCTCCCTTTTCTCTTTTTATCTCCTCTCTTCCCCTCTCTAAATTCATCTCCCTTTTCTCTTTTTATCTCCTCCCTTCCTCTCTCCTCCTTCTCCATCTCCCTTTTCTCTTTTTATCTCCTCTCTTCCCCTCCCTTACTTCATCTCCCTTTTCTCTTTTTATCTCCTCCCTTCCCCCTCCTCCTCCTCCTCCATCTCCCTTTTCTCTTTTTATCTCCTCTTTTCCCCTCTCCTCCTCCATCTCCCTTTTCTCTTTTTATCTCCTCTCTTCCCCCTCTTCCTCCTCCTACATCTCGCTTTTCTCTTTTTATCTCCGCTCTTCCCCTCTCTAAATTCATCTCCCTTTTCTCTTTTTATCTCCTCCCTTCCCCCTCCTCCTCCTTCTACATCTCCCTTCTCTCTTTTTATCTCCGCTCTTCCCCTCTCTAAATTCATCTCCCTTTTCTCTTTTTATCTCCTCCCTTCCCCCTCCTCCTCCTCCTACATCTCCCTTTTCTCTTTTTATCTCCGCTCTTCCCCTCCCTTACTTCATCTCCTTTTTCTCTTTTTATCTTCTCCCTTCCCCTCTCCTCCTCCATCTCCCTTTTCTCTTTTTATCTCCTCTCTTCCCCTCTCTAACTTCATCTCCCTTTACTTTTTATCTCCTCCCTTCCCTTCTCCTCATCCTCTTCCATCTCCCTTTTCTCTTTTTATCTCCTCCCTTCCTCTCTCCTCCTCCTCCTCCATCTCCTTTTTTATCTTCTCTTAACTTCTCCTCCTCTATCACATTTTCTCTTTTAATCTCCTCCTCTCTTCATCCATCTCCCTTTTCTCTTTTTATCTCATCTCTCCCCCTCTCCTCCTCCATCTCCCATTTCTCTTTTTATCTTTTCCCTTCCCCTACGTCTCCCTTTTCTCTTTTTATCTCCTCTCTTCCACTTTCCTCTTCCTTTTCTTTTTTTATCTCCTCTTTTAACTTCCTCCCCTCCATCTTTCGTTTTTCTTTTGATCTCCTCTCATCCCCTCTCCTTCTCATCTGCCTTTTCTCTTTTTATTTCCCCTTTCCTTCTCCTCCAACTCCTATATTCTGTTTTATCTACTCTTTTCCACTCTCATCTTCCAACCGTCTTTTGATTCCCTCTCTACTTCTCTCCTCCGCGTCCGTCTTTTCTCTTTTGATCTCCTCTCTTCCACCCCTCCATCTCCCCTCTCTCTTTTCATCTTCTCTCTTCTCCTCCCCTCCTCCATCTCCATTTTTCTTTTTTTTTCCCCTCCCTTTCCCCCGCCATCACCCTATCCTCTTTTTGTCTCATTTACACCTCCTCTTTCATCTCCTTTTCTCTTTTAATCTGCTCTTTTTTTACCATTTATATTGGCTCACAATACAGAAAACGGCAGTAAAAATCCTTTTATGGGGGGGAAGGAATGATTCTACTATGTGAAACTAAATCAATCTTTCCTCGTTGGTCTCTTGCTAAAAGGGTATAAGCGTGTTAGTGTTTGTTAGTATCTGTTAGTGTGTGTGTATGTAAAAAATGAATTTTGAATACATACGCCCTTTTTGCATAACTTTTATTTTAAGATTCTTACGTAAACTTTACAAATTTCTTTCTATCCGACGAATGTTTATCACATTTGATCCTTTCAAAAATAGAAAAAAATTTCCAAAAGTCAGTGATGCTCCAAAAGGGCGTGTCTTTCAATAGACACGCCCTTTTAGAGTCTCACTGACTGTTTGGAACAAATTGGAGAATAGCAATAGAATTAGAATGTTGTCTTGCCTTAATAATTGAGATCCCATTAACTGACATTATCAGTTGGCGTTTTTTGAATGTTTAAACCGTTCAATTCGCAGCTACTTCTGAGGAAATGCCGACCGATATTCTGAATGTCATCTGAAGATCTACATGAAAGATGCAGGTGTCCTGACTGGAAGACTAATATATTTCCTCTGGAAGTGGGATGCCGCAGTTTTGCTAGCAACTAGACTTTTGTATATCGAGATAAAATGAATCATCTTTATAAAAACATTAAGGTAGTAACAACGTCTCAGACTATAAGCTTTTTGATCTACTTTCATGTAAAATATCTATTTTAGGTAGTTCGGAAAATAATATCTTATTTTAGAATAGACATTTTAATTGTCTTCCAGTATTATGTTACAAGAGTTTCACAAAAATATATATTGCTCATTGCTAAAGGTTAAAGTGTCGTCTATGTTAATTTAAATTTTTAAAAATCTCTTTGAGAATTTGATCTAACATTATATACAGCTCATGTCGAAAGAGGAAAAAAAGAAGAGAGGCGTTTATTTAGCTCAAGTTTGGTCATAATGCTTCTAAAATCTTCCGTAAACATAAACAGGACATGGGGTGAAGAATACACCTGTGATCGGAGCGTATGGCGGTGGTTCCGAAGTGGGGATACGTGTCTTGAAAATCACGGTGGTAGACGATGTCCATCTGCAATTGACAGTCAACATCTGAAAATACGAACAAAGCCCATGTGAAAATGACAAAGAAATGTCTCCGATAATGAGTGCCAACATTTCAAAACAATAATCTCCAGAAAATTTGCAAGTGGAAAAATCTCAACAAATGAGTTCCATATGAACTCAGTTAACGTCAAAGAATTTGAAGAGTGTTCGATACTGCATCTGCGAAAACCGAATGATCCATTTTTAGATCGAATATTGACTTGTGATGAGAAACCGTAAACGATTGGTCCAGCGGGTTGGTCATGACAAAACACCCAAATATTTTCCAAACCCTAATTGCACCAACAGAAGATTATGGTCACTGTCTGGTGTTCTGCTATTGGTGTTATTAAGTACAGATTTCTGAATACTAATCCGAGCATCACTGCTGAAGATTGTTAGACATTTTCATGACGGTCGATCCTCGAGTATTGCCTCCAGAGGTTGGCAGTGAATATTTCGGAGACAGTAGGAAAACGTAGTGAAGGTTCGCAGTGGATATCACAGCAGAGTATAGTTCATCCTTCTCCTGGTCGCCTTTGGTCCTTCCGGTAGACGAAACAAGATGGCCGCCTTTATACACGATGAATAGTGTTGTGCGGCTTCGGATTGGTCAACCTTCTATTGGTCGACTATAAAGGGAAATAAGTCATTCTGACACGCTCACTAGTTCTATATTCATATATACCCAAAAAACCGTAACAAAGATTTCTGTCGACAACTGGATGAAATGAA